TCAGTGCAAATATGTTTGCAGGGACAATGGATTAGCTCCTAAAACTGTTAGCAAGGTCTTGTTTAACTTTAACAATTTTCCAGGGGAGCTTGCAAAAGACTTTGTGAGGCCACGTTCAAGCCTGATATGGAAGCGGAGGAATTATTTGAGACAATCTCTCAGGCATTCATAGCACCAGTGGACAGACATAGAATCTTGAAGGGAAGAATGGACTCAAATCTATTTTGATTAGTTTTCTACCCAGAACAATTGTCCTATTTAAACTCTGTTTCTGAAACTTTAACCCTGAGACTTAATGTATTAATAACATCATCTTTGAAAGCATATGCATGCATTGCCACAAAAAAAATATAACAATTAATAAGTTAAGTATTAATGGATTGAACTTAGGATTGGACTTCATCCCTCTTAGCTTGAAAATAATCCAAATATGATAGTAGCCATTTGGAGCACTCATAGAAATAATTAGATTTAGTGTCAAAGATCAATTCAAACTGAAAAACTCACAGATCAGATGCATCAGCAGCATAAGAGTAGACTGAATGCATATATTGTACCTCATGCATACAGTGAACCACAAACCACTACAACATGACAGGTTAACACAAAATAGAAAATAAACTTAATAAAACAGTAAGTTTATCTTCTAAAATCATTTTAAGATGCTTAGCAAATGAAAAGTAAACTATCCAATTTTCTAAAATAGTAAAACTACAACATTACTATCAAGTATCAATCAAGAATGTAGTCATCACATATTTTAATCAATAGATGATAGAGAAATGGACAAACTTATTGTTCTCAACTCTTTTTTAAGAAAAGTAAAGTAATTTAAATAAATTGTTAGTTATGGTTTGCATTACTTCTTTGAGCAATTTTATCAAACACCTTAGTTGCATTACAAGCTCCTATCGATATTAGACTATCCATTTCTTAGTTCATAAGTCAGGAATTTTATCAAACATCATAGTTGCATTCCAAGCTCCTATCAATATTAAACTATAAATTTCTCTATTCAAAAGTAAATCTGGCTGCTCATGTAGACACATACGGAGTACTAATTACATACAAACTATCTCAAGAAAAATCAACACATATTTTCGGAACTATCTTAATAACGAAGTAACTATAGTAATACATTGACAATATATTTACCTGGAGTACTGGACACTAGATATTGGAGAAGCTGGTTCAATTCTCAACGAAGAAGGAAATCTGGATGGAAGAGAAAAGGATTCTTCACTCGTCAACTATGACGGCCGTTCCATCTAGGAGAAGATAGAGTCGTATTAGGTCTGGGCAATAAAGAAAGAGTCACAAGAATTTGGCTGAGTGGCCTGGGCAAGAGAAGAAAGTCGTACTCGTCAACTGGGCGAAGAGAAGAAAACATACTAGTCATCTGGAGCCGACTAACCTGTTATTCGCGGCTAGGCGGGCGATTGTTAGGCGCTTAATCGGTCTGGGCGGTCGACTAATCGGCATAGCGACTTTAGAGCCGAAAACATGAAAATCACTACGGCAGCATGCCGCCTAACGATTTTCCGGCGACTAGGCGGCCGATTTTTCCGAGTTTTAGAACCATGGCCGTACCTGGTCGATGGCTGCTGTTCGTTGGCCATCCCTGTCACTGCTCTGGTGAATGAGTTTTGGCTAGGTTTGACAACCTCCAAATCAAAGAGAGACACTTATCGTGATGTTTTAATACATCCAGATCGTTTGTACCCGACAGATCTGGAACAAGGGTGGATTATTTTTTTCTGGGCTATTCCCAATCGGTTTTAAGTGATGTCAAAAAACTTCCTTTAATAAAAAACTTGACCCCGTTTTTTCTTTGACATCAGTTGGACATAGAACTGATGTAAAATATTTAATAAAATTTTAAAATACACCCCGTTTCACTATTTAACATCGGGTATAATAATAACTTATGTGAAAAAGTTTATAAAAATTATAAAAATGACCCCGTTTCAGTATTTCACATGGGTTATACAGTAACACATGTAAATAATTAACGTGATGTAAAAAGCTTTTTTTGTGCTAGTGAATAGTACATCGTAATAGTTTAACTTTTAATTAAAAAGTGCATTTTGTGTAATAGAAAAGATAAAAACAATTCGTTTCTAGCTTTTAACTCTAAATAGTTTAATTTTAGTATATGCATCTATTTGTAAATGTTGATACTAACTTTTTGAATTTAAAAGTTGAAAACATTTTCTTAAGAGAATACATCCTTTGTAGTCCAACTCCAAATTTCCTCTCTTTAAAAAAAATTACTCTGTCTAGATTACACGAATTAATCCATTTGCAACTCAAGTTAAACATAACTTTAAATACAAACAAGAAACATTTAACTTCAACCGCTAAATGGTATAATAATCTAAATAACTTAAGGTTGGAATTAGTTTTATGTCTGAATTGGTTGAAATTTCTAGAGGATCGCTTAAACTATTTTCACATAATCTTATCTTAAATCTATTAATAAAATACTCCCTCCGGTCCTAAATAAATTTCACACAAATTAAGGAAATAGATTTGACCTTGCTGAAGAGTACACTGTTGTGACACTGTTTGGTACTGTTTGACATTGTTTTGCACTGTTTTGGTGTAGATAATTTGCCAAATAAGGAATGAAGAAGAAGTGTGAAGTTTATTTTGGACCTACCCAAAAAGGAAAGTGTGAAGTTTATTTAGGACCGGAGGGAGTATATTTTAAATATAATTTTTTCATAATTCATCAATAATATCATCAACTTGAGCAGAATGAGTAGATTGAGCCAATTTCACTGCTAACAACCAAGGTCTAGAATTGTCTGAATTGTCCGAATCTATTGAAATTATGGTTGAAGCGACTAAATTGGCTCAATATGTTGGATTATGAAAAAAATTAAAATATATTTATTAATAAAATATATGAAAAGAGTGAAAATAGTTTAATGTAGTAACTCCAATCAAGTCAATCAGAAAAGTAAGTTCAATTTCAATTATTTTGATTATCACACAATTTATCGTACAAAATCAAAACTTAAAAATTTTGTGAGAAAGTTTGCCGATGAAAATAATGAGCGGAAAATACAAATTATCAAACGTGCTCTAAAAAGTAAGTAATGATTTTTTTTGAAAATAATGTAATATCATTGTAAGAAAACATAGATACAAATTTATAAAGCGAAAAGGGTATCGGACTAGTACTACACATAAATCATGTTTATTTTTTTTCAATTAAAAATTAGAGTTTGAAAAATGAAATGATGATGTTGTTTCCGTCTATCAATTTTATTGGTCAATTTTTGCATTGAATACGAGACTTTGATTTTGCATTTATGGTATATTAATCAAAATAAGTAAAGCTGAAGTTACTTTTATATATAACTGAATTAGCCGAAGTTACTTCAAAAGATCGAGATATTTTCTCTTTTTTCATATAATTTTTTAGTAATAAAATATATTTCAAAAATAATTCTCCGTTTTTTCATAATTTTGCAGATCCATCCAATTCAACCGCTTCAGTTAGAAGTTCTTCAAATGCAGCAAAATCAACCGCCTCGGCGAATTTAAGAGCTTGTATGATGTCCCCTATTTTTGACTTGTGAGTCTTATCAACTAACTTTTTTACTAAACACGTAACTTTTGATTTCACTCACTAAATTATACTTGTATAATAATTAAAATAAGTATGATTGAAATTAATTTTCTGATTAAATTGATTGAAATTAGTATAGAAGATCATTTTAAACAATGGTTCATGAAATCTTTTTTATTATAAATATATAGATTAAAGTATTCATAAATTAACATATTTAGACGGAACTTTATCATAATAAGTAGTCCGTATAATTGATAAATTCAATCAATTTTAATATTACCAATGAGACTCCAAGATTATCAAACATGCTCTAAATTAAAATAGAGACATTACCCAAAATATGACTAAAACCGTTTGTATATTTCAAAATATGACTATCATATTTTTATTCCCAAAATACGACTAATTATTGTCATATTTTGACAATACCAGACTTTAAACATGACAGCATTTTCCAAACTTGACAGTAATTACTTCTATTTTTGGAATAAAAACATGACAATCATATTTTGAAAATTTCAAACTTTTTTACTCATGTTTCGGGAATTTTCCTATTAAAATATTGGTAGAAGAGTAAGAAATAGGGAAAATGGAAACTAATAATCCAACCTCTTAGCGGTCTTCTTACAATAGTCCCACATTTTGATTATTCATGAATAATCCAACATTTGCATCTCATCTTCATTCACTGGTCCGTGACCGATTTATGACCTGTTATTCCAAGTCATCCTTAATAATAATAATAATAATAAGAAGAAGAAGAAGAATAAGAATAATAAGAATAATAATAATATGAATAATAATAATAATAATAATAATAATAATAATAAATCGGTCAGGGACAAGTGAATGAAGATGAGGTGCAAAGGTTGGATTATTCATGAATAATCAAAAGGTAAGACTATTGTAAGAAAAACGCTAAAAGGTTGAATTATTAGTTTCCATTTTTATATGAACCAAATCCCCTTGTGATATGGAAATTCAGCGCATTAACCCCCTGTGATTTACAAAATGCGTCAAACTCCCTTGTGTTTTAATTAATTATGCGCAATATCCCTTCTATGAACAAATTCAATTTTCAAATATAAGAAAAATGATTAAGATTTTTGTATGATTTAGAGATTTTGACATATTTACTTGCATATTCAATCAGGATATTAGGAAAAGTGATCTCAAAATCATTAAATTTAGTCATAAAAGGGGTTCTGTGCATGATTAATTAAAACACATGGGTGTTTGACGCATTTTTCAAATCACATGAGGCTAATGCGCTGAATTTCTATATCACGAGGGTGTTTGGTGCATTAAACCCAAATGATGTTTGTTTTTTCCATTTTATATGACACTACTCCTTATGTAAGTTCTCGAATATCTAGAAATGGTACGATTGGACCCTGTCCAATCAGAATTGGGAGTACCCTTTCTTGAAATGAAATGAAAAAAGGACAAACGAGGAACGGACAGGCTTGCACTGAAAACGCGGAAGCTCTATCCATGCCATAGCGCCGCCAACGCTCCCAATCTTCCGACTCTCCATTTTCCCATTTTCAAGAATTGCAAAAAAACAATGCAAGGTATCAGTATTCCCCAAGCTGTTCTTAATCGATGAAGAACCAAGAATCTGAAGAAGAAAGGGTTCTGTTTTTATTCAAACTGGTATGTTTTGCTGTTTAGATTTAAGCATATTCTCATCCAGTTTACGAATGCCCATAGTGTGTCTAGTGTATACCCCTACTCCAAGAATCAAGATTCAAAATTTAAGAGTGACTTTTATATGCAAAAAAACCTTGAGTACTATATGTACAAAAAAGAACCCGAACTCTCCTAAGAATTTTAATACAAATTTAAAAAAATGTGCGTGTGTCTGAATCTTGATATCAATTCAAAATCCGTATGTTTGTGCGAATTTTTGAAACTTGTGAATTTCTCTATTTGGATATAATGCAAGTTCTCGGCAAAAAACAAAAAAAAATGGATTTTAACAGTAACTCCCACTGTTCTTGGGCTTAAATTGGTTGTAGTTTGCTTCTGGTAAATGATGGGAAGAAAAAGTCTAAGCCCTATACTACAGAGAGAGTTGGAGAAGAATCTTGATGCAGGTGTAACACTCAGTGAAGGGTGGTTATCAAGCACATCAGCTGAACATCATGGACTCACAATCTCACTCGATGAGGTTGACCACATTATGGGAACCATCATTAGGGCATTAAAATCCTCATCTAAAGGGTCATTTCCTCTCCATCATCAGTCTTGCTCAAAAGCAGTTGCAGCCATCGCAAGGTACGGAATGGGTCCCGTGACTCCAGATGAGAAAAAGCGCCACATCTTACACTCCCTCGCAAAGCCGCTTTCAGATTGTCTCTTGGCAACTCAAGTAACCCTATCTTCGGGAGCTGCCCTGTGCCTAAAGTCTCTAGTGGATTCCGAAAATTGGCGTTTTGCTTCAAGTGAGACAATCAATGAGGTCTGCCAAACAGTCTCCGGGGCACTGGAGATGCACGAAGTTATAAACCATCACATGGCTTTGGTGATGTCATTGGCCAAACACAACGGTTTGCTCATCGAAGCCTATGCAAGATTGTTGGTCCGATCCGCGTTGCGCATTCTGAGTTGCAAAATATCAGTGGGAGATTCTCGGGAAAGGTTGTTAGCCATTCTTATGCTTAGCTGTCTGATGAGGTATTTGGATCCGAGGAGTATATTGTCTGAGATGGGATTGGTCATTGAACAGCTGGCAGTGTGTGTAGAATCATCAAATGAGACGTTGCATGTGAGAAAGACAGCGTTTGATGCACTTCAATTAGCTAAAGGAATATTTTCTGAGAACGTGTGTGAATCTGGTGATGATTCAACTGTTTCATCCCCCATTTCGATGAGCATGAACAGGAGACTTTTGAGAAGGTATGAAAATGACAGCTCAGATGAGGAGGGTTTAGTAGATGATAACAGCTTCAGTTTGTATGGAGAGGGTGCTGGGCGATATAGAAGGTGTACAGATAATGGGGACAGACAGTCATATGTGGAGAGCGCAGAATTTAAAAGCATCAAAAGAGCGGTGCCAGAAAGTAAAGGGAACTGTTATGGTTCATATACTCCGAATCGTAAGCGCATGTGGTGGGGGTTTCTAATTCTTGTTGTGATTTTCAGTTTTTCGGTGTGGGAGGGGCATCGAGGTGGTCTTTATGATCTCGTCCCCACTTAAATTTTGTGCAACTTGTTATGAATTGGTGCTTATAGAATTTCGAATGTTATTGTGTGTTTTAAAGATAACAGATTTTATCGATCTGTATAACAAGGTGAGTTTTTGGTGTGTTTGTGAGTTTGATTATTCTACATCTTCAGTATACACATTAGGTCCTAAGGCATGTGTGGCAGGGAAAGATCATAGGGCCCATATTTCAAATAGTAAGCAAAAGTTGTGAGATTAGAGATAGAGATTTATAACTGGCTGTGCTGCTGGTAAGAAAAGTTATACAGATAAAGTATGTACAAGTTTCTACTTATGTTTTTTTTGAATTGTTTTCAGTCCCAGACCAAATTAGACCAGACGAGACTTTCGTAGCTATAAAGTACACATAGACCAAGGCAATACCATACCAGACCAATTCAAACTAAACCAGATCAGACCAGACCAACAAATTTCAGTCCAAAAAAAACATCCTTACACTCCAAAAAAATTATGCTGAATGAAATTTGTATTGAGATGGGAAAAAAATCACAGTGAAAAGGATGACCAAGGGAGTCTAAGCCAGTTTCTTCGCTGTGAGTGCATTTGCAAAAACCAGAGAAAAAAGAATTGCGGAATTTGTTTGACTTATAAAATACGTAGCAAGTTTCATTCACTTCAGGCTTTTCAGCATCACACCAAAAAATGCATGTACACACTCTTTCATTTTCAACTTATTTGAAAATATCAAGGAATATATATATATATAAGCATTATTTGTAGCCTTTTTATTTTATCATTTTTATGTATATTCATCTCTTTTTATATTATCTTTTTATAATAGCTTATCTTTTTTATCTTTATTTTCTTTCTTTTTCTTTTGGTTGTGATATCATGTATCAATTCATGTTAGCCGACTCCAATATCTTTTGGGACTAAGACTTGGATGTTGTTTTTGTTGTTGAAAATATCAAGGACACAAAGCTGGCTGTTGATACAAAATAGCAAGGACACAATCACACAAGCATCACAGAAAGCTAATGATCCAAAACAACTCAAAACGCACAGATCAATTGGAGTCAAAAACTCAAATGTACGTCTTAGCCGTATACCTGTATCTTTTCAGTCCCTCATTATAACCATGTTATGATCCTCATTTGTACAGATCCATAACAAGCGTGAAGAAAAACATGTTTCTATTATGTATGTATCCTATTACCTAGATTATTCTACTTTAAATAACTAGGCCATTTTGTGCGATTTATTATCATGGGAAATCAGAACTGCTGCAAACGATCTTTGTTCTTCCCGCCTCTTCACTCCTCCATTTAAAGAAGTAAATCCTTCTGTATCTATTTCCCCAACAACTTTTTGTGCTGACACTACCACAGCTGGTTTGACATTTCCATCCTACACAAATGAACAAACAAACAAACAAACAAATAAATAAACAAATAAATAAATACAGCCGATAATAAGTTATTAAGTGTGTGCGTGTCTGCTGCTCCGAAGAGGAGGCCCTCCAAAAACAGGCACATGCCACTGATTGCGATGAGCACACATTATTCTTCAGTATATTTATACTCCGTACTACTAGTACATAATATTTTTGTTAGTAAATACTGCACGTAGCACATAGACTGTAAGAGCTCGCTTGGTAATCGTTATTTAGCTAAAAATGCTGAGTCTTCTTAATTCTTTAAAAGAAAAAACGTTCAATAAAATGGGTCTCAGCTAGAGGATAAAGAAAATAAGCCAATAAATACTCCTCCATCCCACAATCATCATCCCACAATCTTTGTCCCATCTTTCATTCTGTCCCACAAAGTTTGTCTCATATGATATTTGGTAATTTATGTGTAGTTCTAATTTATTCTTACTTTATTAACAATTTACAAATTTAATAACCACATAATTCCACTTGTCTTAATTATCATGTCTTCCTCATCCTAATGGGCGGAGGTAGTAACAAACGAAAATGTCCAGGCTAGGTTCATATAATTGCCTGTTTGTTTGATGACAAGAGTTGCTTAGCCTTTTTCTCATGCATCATCTTCTGCCGCCCTTCGTAGAAGTCAATATCATCTAAAATGCATGTTTTACTAAAATGCTCTTTGAATATCTTCAATATCTGATTACCTTGCTCAAGCCCAACCTGCATAGAAACCATAAATTTTATCTACAAGCAAAATCCTACTCCAACGTGCTTTTTTAGCATAGAAAACAAACCTCCTGAGTATCTCTGCTGTTAGTTACAGGTTTATTCTCATTATTTTCTAGTCTGATATGCCTCAACATACTGTTTGGTACATCTTTTACAATATGCCATTTAACATGAAAGCACCCATTCCACTTGTCTTGCTGCCAATATTCTACTGTCTTATCATAATCAACAGGACCAACCATCTCTGCAAGACCAACAAACTGTCCACTTGCATTGACCTGAAAGACAACATTTTTTGACAAATAGCTATTAACTGTCACCTCTCACTAACAAATCCATGCTAAATCAATTCACTTACAAATCCATTTGGAACTTTGAAAATGATCAGGAAAGAAAATAGAGGAAAATATAAGACACAATTTAAGGCAAGAATATTTACGGAGAACAGAAAAATAGTTCATACTCAATCAACCAATTTTTGAGATTTTTTTACTCATTTAATTTATATATTTCTAACATGTAAAGACTACGGAATGTAAATACATTTGAGGTTTTGAAAGGTTTTTATCTGATTTGATTTTCTTCCGTACTTTGTAAAAAAAGCATTTTTCCTTGGCAATTTTTCCCCGTTCCACTGTGATTTCATGAGTTCCAAATAGAACAAAATACTTACAGAAAAAAGCAAAAATACAGGGCATCCACCGGGCTTCTCCTGGGCTTCTATGTATGCTTCGTCTAGTTTCTTGTTACCGTTGGGGGTGCTGGCCCATACACCATATTTGACACTTTTATATACATCATCTTCACTGTATGACTTAACGACGAAGAACTTGCCATCTGGGAATGTTTCTGGAAAATCATCTTGGTTGAATTGTCCCCTGCCCGGTAAAAGAGGTAAAGGTTCATTGTCATTGTTACCCTTCACAGTGTTAAGAATACGCTCCTTAACTGCTAGAATAATGGCTTCAGAGTCCTTCTGATCCCTCACGCCTTTTGCACGGGGCCCTCTGTTCAGACTTATGTTACTTGCACTTTCAGTGTTATCACTTGATAGAACAATGCTACGACCATGTGACCTATCTGCGTTATGAATAGCCACACAATCATGTGCACCTGACCTAACACCATAACTCTCCGCTTTGAATCCTAAACCATTGTTTGGATTCATCTGATTTGTGTACCCACCACCTAGTCCAGCTGGCACCCTTTGATGCTGCAAGCCCTGTCATTGAACACCTGAGACTATAATTCTAACTTACTTCCATGTAAGCTATAATAGTTAACACCTAACCATTACCCGGAGTGTATCCAGCTCTCATAACACAGGGGAAAACTTGAGCTCATAGCAAATGATGAACATACAAACAGAACTAATAAAAAAGAACTATACAACTTCTCATTTTGCCAAAGAAAGAAAAACATGGACAGTTAGGGACAATTAGAAACTGAGGCATCAAGAGAATTACAACTGCAGCTAAGACTAGTTTAAATAAATAATCAGACTTTTCTAGTAGATTTGCAGTTTCACTAAAGCATTAAAATAAAATAATATAAAAATTAGAGGATTCAACCACAGCTAAATGAGCTAACCATGTCATAATATATACACTGTTTTGTGGTCACCAACTAAGAGAATGTTACAATACTGATATACCCAAAACAGTGTTTATGAAGCTAAAGAAAATATTTTCAGGATTAATTGAATTTTCTAGAGTCTAGACATATATACAACTTCAAAGAGGAGTGTTCATGTTTTGATCTGGAATAGAAAGATGGATCATGCTGGACCGTTCAGTCTGGACCAAATAGATTTAGGTCAGCCCCAAAAAATGAGATTTTGGTCCTGTTCAGAAGTGTAATTTTCCAGCCCAAACCGAGACCTGAAACATCATACATATTTTTTATTTTTATAAAAACACTTGAATATAAATGTAAGAAATTTGTATCTTCGCATAAAATTAACCACTAGTCAAATTTACCGTTATATTTACTTTTCATATCTCACTAATTATTTGATAAAGTTAAAATCAAAATAATTTAAATATAGGTATTACTCTTTAATTTATACTTTGGTATACAATTTTGTCCAATTGGTTCGTCCAACTTTTCCTGGTCTTGTCTTTGGTCCATCTATTTTTTTGGCTTTGGTCTCCACTCTGGTGATCGTCCGGTGCCTAAGGGTATCAGTAAACCAGAATATTCTCTTAAGTTCAAAACATCTAGGACACAATCCTATGAATAGACAATAGCTAGAAGTCAAAGTGCACTAGGTAATAAGTTACCCCTCTGCCTAAAAAAGAATCACGTTTTATCGAAGTACAATTGTTTTGTGTTTGTCCATCCTGCTAACGTTCATAATTTTGTGTTTGTTAAACTAAATTTAGCATACAAATCTTAATTCATTCAGAACTTTAATTTTTTAAAAATACATCAAGTTCAACCAGAATTTTGTTGAAATAGCAATCTTATTTTGGGGTGGGGAGTACTTGATTTGCCTACCATGAGATGTCTAGGATGCTGCAGATTTTGGCTTTCTCTGGAATGGATATTGCTGATTTGTGCAGCTGGTGAAGACGTCCAATGTGGTGCTGCAAGAATGACCCTCCAACAGTTAGATCTAGTAATAGCTTATGTATGTAAAGACACAAGAGATCCTGTTGGTTCAGCAAAGAGAGATACCTGCTGACTTGTTTCCCCAGCCATAGACATCTGCTGATTTCAGCAAAGAATGCTGATAATTATGTCTTACCGGCTTCATGACGGTTCGATTAACAAGGCCAGTGCTATTATAATACTTATTTCCTTTACTTTCCCCAGGAAATAGTAGTTGAGAAGAAACAACAGATGATATGACCTTGGAATGGACATCAGTTGGTTGGTTCCATGAGTATGTCCCGTTGTTAGTTGAAGAAGGTTGAACATGTCTAGTGGGATATGGATATTGTTGTGGTTTGATATCATGTCCAACATTTGAGCAGGATGGGGAATATGTTTCATATGGTGCATAACTATAGCGCGTTTGATAGTTATCATACATATTCTGAAAGCACCCAATAATAATATATTAGAAGCACTATTTAGAAACAGATATTTCAAACATAATGTTGATATGACTTCAGGTTAAAATGTTTAGGCAACGTCAAAATGATACTCCCTCCATCCAAAAAAAAAATGAGTCCAATTTGGTCAAGGTACAACTTTAAATTTCACTAAAAGGCACAAAAGTTAAAAGTTGTAATCACTAATCGCATTGAAATCTAGTAACATAATGTAGAGCTAGAATACATTTATTTCACTTTAGATTTTTTTAGTAACATTTGATGAAACAGGATTTTTGGGAAAAAATAACCCTAAAAAAAACATAATGCAGAAAAGCTAGAATACACACAACAAAATGTGTTTAACACGAAAACACTAATTATTACAAAGAGATAATAACAAAACTTACGGGAGGTATTTCATCTCCACCTGGCATTACATATCTATCCCATTCACCGACTGTAGAGCCATCATAACCTGCATGGAAACCAGAGGGAGGTGATGTAATATTAAAAATATTGTAGCACTGAAGTGCATTTTAAGTAATGTGCAAAAAGCCAAATAATGCTATCTGTTTTATAAAAGAGTTGATCAAGAACTTTTTCTTCCTAAAAGAGAGTGTTTACTTCATCTCAAATTTCAAACTAAGACTCATTAGCGTCAAGCGGAAGTTTATAAAACATGAAGCTTGATTGACTTGAGTACTTGACTACAATTTAAACAGTTTTTTCATACTCAAACATGACTCTGTTTTTAGGATAGGGGGTGTATTTGGCAATAGTAATAACAATAAATTAATAATAATGATAACTTGATAATGAATTATATGACCTTGATTGTTTGAAGGAACAATGTGTCTTAGACTTTCATCTTGATCGGGCACACAGAAACTAAAATATGATGTAAATATCTTCTAAGTTAGCTCTAATCGTACAAAACTAAGAAACAAATTTATACTCTTTCTATTCTTTTAATCAACAGCAACTGGGCACTACAACTTACCACCATAATAATATGTTGGTGATGGATGTGTATTAGAGTTGCAGAACATGCTAGGCACTGTAGAATCCTGGTAGAATGGCAATGCTGATATCTCAAGAAGCTTGTTCTGACCATTTGTTATAAGACCAGAACCAACAGGAGCATAATTAGTAGCAAAAACAGAAGTCTTAGTGTGTGTGAATATCAATTTCAGGGTGAGCACCCAACTAAAATCACAACAAAATATTGTTTATCGGGCACTTAGACACAATTAACTTGGGAACTCCACATGAATGGGGAGGGAAGACACGTGCTTTTAAATTTTAATAATTAACTATATACATAGGTATAAGCTACTGAAGGACACCTTATTTGTGCACTCCTGAACTCGGTGTGTCCTTCCGCTATCCGAGTCCAATGTTAAATTCTGCAGTAATTCTTCAGTCGTTCCTAAAATAGTGACAGAGATACAATTATACAAAGACTTGAGCAACTCATCGCAATAGAAAGCGTTCAATTTTGCAAGCAACGAATTTAAGAAAAAATCCTACAGCAGACAAATCATTAAATTCATTCGCTATCTATCAATAGCGCAATCTACCTTGCAGGTCTAAACGAAGTTTGGTGTAAACATAATCAACCCACACGCAATGAGCACTTTACATACAACACACACACACACACACGAAAACATATGCGTATATGAAGATTGCAGAATAAAAATAAACAGCTAAACGAAAAAACAGAGTGAAAGGCAGATAGCATACGATCAGGCGGAAGACCAACAGAGTCCATGACGATGATCGACGGCTTGAATCGACACCGCCGCTGTGTGCTTATAGTATAGTACGGAGTATGACGGAGAGGAGTAAAAGGTGGTGCGAGGCTTGGTGGGCGCCGCCGCAAGGTGTAGGTGATAAGTACAGAAAAGCGCGGATAATGTTCTCAAAGATAACTTCAAGGTAATTATTAAGTTATTCAGCATGTGTTTAAAACTTTAAACGTTAATTAATGACATCTAAAGTCCCTCGACTAGGGAAACTCAGTAGGAGTAAAAGTAATTTTTAATCCATTATTTCTCTATTTATACTCTTTTTGGAGTCACTCGTAAAACTTAGGACATAACTTACACATTTTCTATTATTCATATTCTTCTCCACACTTTCATAGCTCAATCTCTCCATTTAATTACATGTTTGGGTCCCAATAATCCATCAATGGTGCTTTCATTGAGAGATTAGAGCACAATCAAGTGAGAAACCCTCCCAAAAATATCACAAACTCATCCAAAACACAAGAATTCAGTCAAAAACATATCTAAAAATGTCAAGAACGGAAAAAAAAGATTCCAGAAAAACAGTTTACAAAAAAATGAAAATGAAATCTAGAAATTTCCAGATCTGGAGCTTCTATTCCGACCTACATCGTTGTAGCGTCGGCCAACCGGAGCAGTCACTGTGAAATGGAAGAACCTCGTCGGAGCCCAACGGAGCTGATGAAAAAAGCAGACCTGAGACAGCCAGGCAACTAGAATCATGGATACGGCGGCCGTTTCTCCCCTAGCCGCCAACTCCTCAACCTAGCTGGCCCATCCACCATGCCAGCAGCCGCTCGACCCTCCATCTCTCCGTTAATGGCGGCTCGAAATTCTTGAAACCCAGGTCTCGAAGCTAGGGCTGTCCTCTCCATCGTCACTTCCGTCAAGCCGCAGTAGGGATTATGAGCACCTGGCCCTTCTTTCCCCACACCGTAAGACAACGACGGGAGGAGCTGTCTGCTCTCCAGATGGATCTTCAGCGAGCTTCGCCGGCAGGGCCCGCCGTCGTTGGCCTCTCTCCTCCCTGTCGGCACCGGATAGGGCCCACCGTCGTTGGCCTCTCTTCTCCCTATCGACACCGGATAGGGCCCGCCGTCGTTGGCCTCTCTTCTCCCTATCGACACCGGATAGGGCCCGCCGTCGTTGGCCTCTCTTCTTGTCGGACCCTGAGATGGACTTCTAATGAGGATGGCATGGCTGACATGTACCAAGGAAAGAGCTGGGCTTAGGGGTGGGTTCGGTTCTTTCGGTTCGGTTTTGACCTAAAACCAAATACGGAACCAAATTAAAAGTTCAGTTCGGTTTCGGTTCGGTTTTACACTCCAAAACTTCAAACCACGGTTTGATTGGTTCGGTTTGTTTCTGTTCGGTTTCGATTTTTTCGGTTTTTTACTAAATATTTGTCATTTAATTTAAAATTGATATAAAAGTTGGAGGGATAAAACATATTACATAAAAATGCAAGCAAACTTGAACAAATGAAGGAAATAATAATAAACAAATATGTCTTGAATTATATGAGTATGCGGGAGAGATAAAAGTGTGTATCTATTCTTAATTTACAATGTTTGTGACTAGTTTGAAAAACGTTTATGAATACATATGTCCTGTGTGATTTAGCCGAGATGAATATTTATTTGTTTTATCAATATAAAAAAGTTAAGTTACAAAAAAGAATTAAGTTACATAAAAATAAAAGTTAATTACTACTAATAACTAGTAAAAACATATAATCATGCAACAACTTGCAACATACATACATAAAAGACATAATAGATCAATATAACTAGAAAATGTCGATTCGAATTTGAGTAAGTAGAATACGAATACGAATACAAATCTATTTTTTGATTCGAATACTTTATGAATAAGAATACAAATACTATGATATTCTATTCGAATATATTCGAATTATATATATATATATATATTTATATATTTATATATTCATACAATATATACTACTTCTTATGAATACATATAGTTCAATGTAAAAATATTAATAACAAAATATTCATGTAAATATTTTGCATATTTTAATTTAAAAATTCTTACTTTACTAGGTCAAAATAGGTTAATTTACAATTAAAATTCTCCGTTGATTTATCTATATTGATATTAAATTTGAAGTGACTTCTATAAATGAATTTTGTTTCCTATAAAATATGTAATATGAAAATTAGTTAAAAGGGGCAAACTAACATCATAATTTTAATTATTTTCACTTTTTTAAAAAAGTTGTCTTATTATTAATAAAGCAAAAGTTGGGGGAGGTTACATGGGTCATCAATCCCGAAAAGGATTGTACGAGAGCAAGCAAAATACAAAAAACCAGAGTATTAAATCGGCCCATGCTAAGTAGGAGTCCATATCGTGAAGCCCAGGAGCATAATCGAAAAGGGATGGCCCGTCTGGCAGAGAACATAGTGCGTCCAAAGAATGATGGCCATTCAGTAGGGTATCGTATCTTCTAGAGGTAAAGAGAGAGGTGCTCTTGATCTTTGTCTGGATCGGCTTGATACTTTGGAGATCAACCAGTGTCTGAAGAATGCCGCACTTCTCTTATTGTCGTAATAGGCCTTCTTGGCTTTTGCCGGTAGAGTATCCTGGAGTCAAATTTAGCCGGCGTCTCTGAAGAGACTGATGCCATTTTTGTCGTTGAAGAAGGCACGCTTTGCTCTGGGAGGGAGAGTGCTTTGAGTGTAGAAGGCTATAGACCCGGTGTTAATGCTAGATTGGGCGATGAAATGTGCCACCGCGTTCGTCTGGTGTGGTCGATGCAGAAAGGTCGCCTTGGAGAAAACCCTCGTCGTTCGTAGTCTGTTGATCGATTCCTTCAGGTAACTCGGAACTTTAATAATGCCCTCTGTCATTTGAACGCAAACTGTAGAATCATTTTGGACTTGGAAATTTTTGTAACCCTTGTTTGTGATTATCTGTACAGAGGTGTCCATAGCAAGGATCTCTGCTTGGAGAGGATTGGTTGCTTGTAGCGGGAAGCCAAAGGCCAGGAGTACATCGCCATCTGAGTTCCGCAGTATAGCGCCTCCTGACCCTACTCCCCTCTGGAGTGTCGCGTCAGTGTTGAGGATGAGGGCAGCAGGTGTGTGGGTTTTCCACTTGGTTTGGCCCTTGAGTTTTTGTATGTGTTTAATGTATGGCATGAGATCATCTGTGTGCAATTCCGCATCAAATCTGTAGAATTTTTTGTGAATGTTTGAATAGCAACAGAGTCTTGTGTAGCTTTTGATTTCTGAGATGATGTTGATACTTGAGAAAGGTTTGTCATCCCAAATGCATGAGTTATTTGTTTTCCAAATGTGCCACATGATTATTCATGGCATTGTTTGTCGTAAAATAGTGTTGATGTTGTTTGTTTTCCTCCCCATCCACCATATAAAAAGTGTTTGTCTTAAATCATCTTGTTGAGCAATCCTGACCTGCAAAATAGAAGAAAATAACCTCCAAATAGGTCTGATTAGAGGGCAGATGAAGAGGGCATGGTTTTGGGAGTCTGAGTTTTTGTGGCAGAATGGGCATTTAGTGACCATATTGAAATTTAAACGGGTGAGATTGTTTGGGAAGGGTAGAGAACCGTTCAAATATTTCCAAACGAAAATTTTAATTTTTAACTGTATTGGGGCTTCCCAGTTTTGAGAGTAGGAGAAGGTGGTAGGTAGATGGGTCCTGGAGTGGTGATAGACACTTTTTAGAGAAAATTGGCCATCTTTTTCAATTGACCACCAGGGCTTGTCGTTGACAGAGAGGATAAGTGAAGGGTATTTTTGTGCTGTTTTGCAAACTTGCTTCCAGGTAGGGGAGTCGTTTGGTTTAGAGCTCAGTGTACCTTGTCTTGAGTATATGTTGAACATGAACTTTGCCCAGATGGACTGTTGTTGTTTGTAATTCCAAAGGAGTTTTAATTGTAAGGATTCTTGGATGTCCACAAGTGACCTAATGTTTAGACCTCCCTCATTTCCTTCTCTGCATATGTGTTTCCAACTTTTCCAGTGATATTTGTGCTTGTCTCCAGAAGTTCCCCAAAAAAAATTACTCATGAGCCTGTTTAGGCTTAAGATGATTTTCCTTGGGAATTTGGTGGCCGTCAGGTGATGGATTGGGATAGAGTTTAGCACATGCTTTATTAAAATGAGTCTCCCTACTTGATTTAACTGTTTGTTTTTTCAGGACTGCAGTTTGTTTTCAAAGGCTCGAGGATGTGGGTGCAGTGCGCTGGTCTGGTAGTTCCTTGATGTAGGACAACCCCCAAATAGGTCATTGGAAGGTTAGTAACATTCATCTCGGTTTCCTTACTTAGCCAACGTTTCCTTCCGAGGTTCATCTTCTTGCTGACAAGAATTGAGCTTTTGTTGTAGTTTATAAGCTACCCTGATGCAGTGGAGAACATACTGAGAAAGCCTTGGAGGTTCCGGATTGATGAAGCCGAGTCATTCAGAAAGAGGAGCAGATCGTCAGCATAGCAAAGCTGAGAAACCGGGCTCGGATAGTTGCCTATAAAATAGGGCTTTATTGAGTTGTTGTCGTATCTCCTCTGTAATGCTTTTGAAAAACTTTCTGTAGCTATTAGGAACAGGTACGGGGAAAGAGGGTCCCCATGTTTAACCCCCCTTCGCCGCTTAAAGAAGCCATGCGGGATTCCGTTTACCAGAACGGAAATGTTCGTGGAGGCCAAGTTGGACAAAATCATATGGGAAAATTTCCTGTCAAAGCCCAACTTTAGAAGTGATGCCTCCAGGAAAGCCCAAGATACCCTGTCGAATGCTTGCGATAAATCAAGCTTGACGGCAATATTCCTGCCCCTGACTGGTTTGTCTAGGTGATGGAGGATCTCCTTAGCAAGCAAAATGTGGTGATGGATGTCCTCTCCCTCCATGAAACCAATTTGCTCCTTTGAGATCAGCTTTGGTAGAATAGCTTTTAGGCGCGTAGTGATAATCTTGGAGCAAACTTTACTAATAAAATTAGTCAGACTGATGGGGCGAA